ATCTTTTTGTCAATATCATACAATTGAGCCTTAATTCCAATTCTTTCTTGTCTATCTGCAACACAATCCATACCATCATCTATATTGTTTTTCAATTTTTTGGAGTCGGTTTGCCAATTCATCTCTGACTTCCATGCGCTTCACCCTAATCTCATTCCACCATCTACGAACCTCTTCTTTCAAACCTTTTAGTTTGTCTTTGAAAATAATACTTGCACAATCTCCAGTCTTCCCCTTATGCTTATCCCAAAAGGTGCGAACCAGTAAATTAAAGTCGGGTTCATTCATCCAAGAATTAAAAAATTTGAAGGGGCGAGGTCCATAATCAGTAGCATCTTGTGAAAGAAAGATCAGTCTGTGATCAGAAATAGTCAACTCTAGAGCCAACGATTTGAAATTAGTAAAACGTTTCACCACCCCATTAGAGACTAAAAAACGATATAGTTTACTAGATTTCGCTCCATTACCACTAACTCTCGTGAAAAAGAATCCGCCGAGAGGAATTTCATAAAGACTCGAATTCTGAATGAAACAATTAAAATCATCCGTCTCGCGTTGTGTGAAATTACATCCCATTCTTTCCATTCGATATCTAACAACATTAAAATCGCCAAACAGCATGTAAGACCCCATATTTCTACTGATGAACGAATGCAAGAAACTCCACAACGTTTTTTTACTAGCTTCCGATTGAGGAGCGTATAAATTAATCATAAAACACGTAGATTTATGAAAAACCCACTCACCTTGAACTATCACTACACTCTCAGTGCATGTTATCTTTTTCTTGACAAATACTGAAGGATCCCAAATAGATATAATACCCCCGGACCGACCACAAGACGAACTTATAGCAAAATCGAAAGTAAAGTTTCCCCAGATATTACGTAACACAAACAAATCAACTATGGACAAACCAGTTTCCTGGATACCCAGAAACGACACCTCCATCTTGTTACAAAGCATAAAAATTTTCCTCATTTTCACCTTATTCCCGACACTACACACATTAATAAATAAAATATTCATTTATCAACTAAATTCACACCATTTCTTTTATAATACTTTCCATATTATCATTACACCCAGACATTTTGTACCCAAGTGTCGTACCCACTTCTATAAACCGAGCCATTGCATCAACCAAAGATACCCCATCGATATCTGTTACATTTGTTAAACACATCTTCGATCCTTTTTTTTTCTAGAAGTAGAAGTACCAGAAGTTGGCACATCTAACTTCAAATTTCCTCTCCCACTATTATAGATTGGTGAAGATTTTTTTTATTTTATTTTCTTGACAACATGATGAAAACCCGGGGGTCTTGAAGGAGAGGAAGAGCTACCTCCACTTTCTTTAGATTTATCTAACTCTCCCATCACGAATGATTCATTATGCTGATCCTCGCCCCATTTTTCCTTTTTCTTATTCTTTTTTATAATACTATCATCTTCCGATGTCACTTCTTCAACAACACCATCCACCCGCTCATCTGTATGTTTTTTCACTATAACAATAGGAATCGGAGATACTACTTTATCTACTTTCTCACCATTTGTTTTTTGTGTTATTACATGTTCCTGTTGATCCAATTCTGGCTGCAAAGAATTTACCCTATATTCAGGAATATTATATTTTTCATTCGATTCGCCATCATTAGAACCCAAATTTCTTCTGACTGATCTGAATCTGAATTATCATCACTAGTATCATCTCCATTTTGATTTTCATGTTGAATAGAAGGTATCCAATTTGATACCTCTGAAACAATCACCTGATGCTTCACCCCATTTACTTCCACATGAATTCTACTATTTTTTTTTTTCCATTTTTCTTGTTTTAATGCATACCCGACCTGTACCAGCTGGTTCGTCTTCATCATCATCAATGAAGAGAACCTCACCCCAATTAGACGCCGCCCTATTAAAAGTTGAAGAGGTCCAAGCGGTCAAAGGTAGCCCGATTACCTCCACCCATACAATTCGAGTGTCAAGCACAAAACTCTTTTGCAACGATTTTATCTCCTTAAAGAATGTCTTCATTATATCACATCTCTTAAACTTAACACAAGTATTTTGTTTTTTGAATTCAATCCAAACCCACTCACCACCCAAATAAGCAATGTTTAAGTGATGAAATCCTTCTTTGGAGCACAGAGTATACAAATTTTCAATAAGATTAACATCCCTCACCTTTCCAATCACAACAGATTCAACATCAGGGATAAAAATAAAATCTTGATTTTGCAATTTACACTCCATAACGGTTTTAGCTTCCCTAACTTTTTCATTACTTTGTTTCTGTTTTTGTTACATATTCAGATTACCACCCACAGCAGAAGCATAAGATCTGAGATTAGTTCTGTTACCTGGCATGATGACATGAGGAGTATCATCCCTCACAACTTTGAAGTGCTGCTCCCCTTGATCCCTTCTACCCTCCCCGGTTCTATTAAATCTTGCCCAAGATGCAAATAAGTGAAAATTCCCTATCCATACTCTATTTGAGTCCTCCACAACATGTTTATATTCTTTTGATTTCAAGAACCGCACAAAAGTAAAGCGTTTTCCTATTTTTGACAGTTTCCGAGCAATATAAACGTCTGCAACAGTTCCACGACGCTCACATAATTTCCAAAGATCTCCCACATTCATCGTATCAGGGAAATTCATAAGGAATACATTAACCGATACCTCTTCTAAATTTTTCTGATTAAGATTAAGGATACCTCTCGTATGTGTATCGTCGATTCTTATTTGATGCCTTCCTATTCTCCATTGCCAACCCTCGTTCTTTTGTTTTGTGCCCATCAGTTCACTGCATAAATTGCTTTCCAATCGTAAACATTCATTTATCAATTACAGAAGAATCTTTGAGAAAAGGAAGAATGAAGATCACCGGTGTATTGATCCCGCCGATGAAAGAATACCGCCTTGCTCCAGGTAAATGTATGTTCTCAATACACCTTCTGCCTCTGATTTCCTTTCCTCCTTTTAGCAGAAGAAATGTTCATGGATTACGGACAACTTAGTTTTCTCTAGTTTTTATTATATCGGTCTATCTATTAAAGCAAATTCATATACTTATTATTATTATTATCATTATTATTATTATTATCATCTGTATAATTATGCATTCAAAATTTAAAGTGAAATATAATTGTTATGTTGTTATTGTTGTATTTGTGATGTATATTGTTGTGTTGTTATTGTTGTATTTGTGATGTATATTCAATTTGCTTTTGATTCATGAACTAAGTCGCACAACCCGGCGTGTTCCGCCGCCTCGGCCGGGGGTGTGACATGGGAAGAGAGAAATATTCAACTCAAACAAAAACTTTATTTTTTATATAATTTATTAAGTTTAATAACGATTTTTGTATAAAAAAATAGTTTATTACTCAGACAAGTCATTTTCTTTAATAAAAACTAGCAGGAATTACCCGTGCCATTGGCGTCGGGTTAGATCAAGTTTGCTTAAATGTTGATAAGTTTCTATTTTGTCACTTTTGGCTGATAACACGGTTTCCTTGATTTCTGTTTAAAAATAGTGTTTTTTTTAGAGATACAGGTGTGTAGATATGTGGTCGTGTATAACTTTATGTTTGTTTTGCATTGAATTGCAAAGTGCGTTTTTTTTTTTTTAATGGAACGGGAGTTCTACTTTGGCTGCACTTCTTCCATTTCCTCAAACCCTTTGTTGTTTTTTTCCATTGAAAATTGCGATTTGGCAAGCTGTAAGAAGAAAAATCAAATGTTCAATACGAAAAATAGTAACATAATTTCTTAAACTTGTTTATTATAATATGGTACTTACTTACATTTAATGTTATTATATCATTGAAATTCAGAAATGTTAATTGTTAGGAAACCTATATCCTTACTTAAGTATAATGGTAAAAGTACTTTTAAAAAGTTTTGGAAAAGTTGTAAAAAGGTACAATTTTTTTAACTTCAGTAGTTTGAATCAAATTGTTATGGTCTTTGAAGTAAGTCTCACGTAGTGGTTCGTTTTATAATTTATAAAGGTTGTTTGTTTACGGTTAATCTATATATTTTGCAATATTAAAGTTATTTACTTTATAATCAGAAACTTTAAACCGACAAAAAGTCGATATCCAATTACACACTTGGAAATGTTCCAAGATGTAAGGAGTCTGATATCGATCAGTTCTTATCCCAACAGTCCAAGAATTGTGTATTCCAGTTCTGGTTTCGTACATCCAAACACTCCTAAAAGATCAAAAAAAGTACATTTTTCAACTTCAAATTATCATGAATTGAGAAATAAAAGATAGGTTATAACACATGCACGTCATATGAACAATGGGGTGTTTCAATATGCTGAGAAACAACAAAAATGAAGTAAAATTGAGTTTAATTAGTATTGATTCTAAATCGGTTTTGGATTTTATATCCAAATAATGTCACATACAACTCGTTTAAGCTGATTTCTTGATCTTATTACTGAAATACTCAAAATCAGATTACCCCTTTCAAAATTTGGGAGTTTTAATAGCTATAACGGATACCTCTTTCATTTGCCAATAACTGTAAAACGAAGTCAAGTTGCATCTCAAAAGCTGTAATTGTGATCCTGCTAAGCAAGGCTGAAGAAAATAAGAAAATAGATGATCAAACAACTATAATCAACTAATAAATCAGGTAAAGTAAGGCGGAATGAATACCTTAATTGGCTCAGACATTTCATCGAACTCCTTATAGGCATGTTTCTCATCCAAAAACAATAACCTTGTTGAGCATTCCCACTCCCCAAACCTAAGGAAGTCCTCCCCTTTTTCATGTTCAATCACATGATTCTCCAAGTGTGAAGGTTGCAAAGCTGAAAGACCGACATGTAGCAAGAACCGGTTCGGGTTTAGCCTTGATTTTGGGGTTGCTGTTGGTCGTGTTTGATGAAGAAGTACTTTCACCATGAACATAATTACTTGTTGAAGCTCAAGATCAGATCGGTGTATCAATGATGCATTAGGCAATAGTTAAAAGTCAAAGTACAACAGATCATCTCTAATTACAACGAATTCTTCATAGTTCAAGTACACATCTTTGTCAACATCTCCCTGCATCAATATATTTCATTAATCCCTATATTTATCTTGTTTGATGCACTTGATGTATTCAATTTATTATTATATTTAGATAATTTAGTAAAATATAATACTTACAGCATCCATAAGTATATGAAGTGCTACATCAGGGATCTGTTGACCAACCTTCTGTAATCCTGCTTCCAACTCAGCAATGTTTGTCTTTCCTTGCTTGCTTGTATCCATTAGATCAAATCCTTGCTTAATTCCCGCCACTTCCTCAGCAGATGAACGGTCAGCAATTACCTGTAATTTTGTTATAATAAAGGACAATTCAGTATAAAGACACCCAAAAAAAGAACAAAAAAACCACAAGATAACGAATTATTACATACCCTTAAAGCTCTCTTCTTGAGTTTGTTCATTACAGAGAATTGCTTGGAGCCTTTATGGCGTTTTGTATCCATGTATCATCTGAAATAAGTTGATAGACAGAAAGGTTAACTTAGAAATGGGTTAAATACATATAATATAATGCAAAGACAACATGGTCATGAAAAAGTAAGGATTTTGAGATTACCAAGAACTGAGCAGCAAGACGTAACTTTGGGTCAGGATTTAGCATCTTCTTGACAAGATCTTTAGCCGCATCAGATACCTTTGGCCAAGGATCCCTTTTAAAATCCACATACGGCGATCGACTAGGACTGACAAATCGATGATGGATGCACCGGAGGAGGGAGGCTGATAGAGGAAGGGTAAAGAAAATTTTATGGATGTTATCGGGAACGAAGAGGGAGAAAGAAATTGGCGTGGTGTGGTGGCAGAATCCGGCAACCGTTGCTGCCGGTGGTGGCAGAATCCGACAACCATTGCTGGCGGTGGTGGTGATGAGTAGAATCGAACCAAAAAAACATACATGAGGCTAGAAACTTACCGTCGCAACCTCACATATAACTCTTGTTGTTTCTGTCGGTCGGTATCTCTCTCTGGTCGATTCACTTAGCTTCTCCATATAACATCTGAGGTTTTTTTGTTGAAGAAGAGGACGTAGGTTAATGGCGGTGGCTTTGTGATTGGTTAAAGAAGATGGTCCAATGGTCATAGGGAGGAAAAGAGAAAATGTAAAACTTTGGTGGTCAAATTATGAATCTAAAACATTATGTGGCAGAATCCCAAATCACAAAAGGTTCGTGTTCACTGGATGAGAATTAATATGTATATAATATATGTCATATTTTTCTATTTTTATTGGATTACGGATAAAAGTAATCATATTGTTTTTTTTTTAATATTTTAGTAACTATAATGATAATATGCGTAAAAAAAGTAATATATATATATATATATATATATATTGGCCTGTTATTGGGCTTCTATATTCAAACTTCAATATTTTAATTGTCATCGTACAAATGAGTGAAATAGCAAACGAGCAAATATGCAAAAGTCGTTATTTTTATTTATTAATATTATTATTATTCTTATTATTATTATTTTTTATGAATATGAATGTTTGTGAACTAGTGAAGCAAAAGTATCGCAGAAGTTTACAAAAAAGGGTTTTATCTTTTGATCCAAACCGTTGAAACAAGGAACGGTTGACGTGGCGCATCGTGATTAAAGCCCACAGATACCTTCCCCTGCACCGTCAAAGTAGAAGCAAAAATGGTGTATAGAGCCACCGTTTGTTTGTCCCTTTCCTATTTCATCATCTTGGTCATCACTCTCAATTTCATTCAAACCCTACACGAATGCATCTCTATCTTCCTTTATTCATGAATCCTTCTGTCTTCTCCCTCCAAACCACCACATCTTATCGATTTTCCCGGCAAGATACTGTCGAAATCCATCGATTCTGTGCATAGATAGTGCTGATTTTGAACTATGTTCAACGCCCCATTTGTACTCTTGTTCGCTCTCTTACTTACCCTACCTCTTTTGTTCATCTTTGCACCTCGAATCCTTCCTCCTAGACGCGTTATAATCTCTCTCCCCGACGAACTCGATGACCTCGCGCTTTTCCGGCGAGCTGTTCTTTCGACAGTTCGCCCACCGGGATCCGTGTCCCGTCTTGGGTCCACTAACGCTAAACCTAAAATCGCTTTCATGTTTCTCACCAACACCGATCTCCACTTTGCTCCTCTGTGGGAAAAGTTCTTCGACTCGCCTAAATCGAATCAGCAAAAGCTGTATAATATATACATCCATGCCGATCCAGATTCCGACGTCAAATCTCCTGGCGGCGTCTTCCAAAATCGATTCATTCCCGCGAAAAAAACGCAGAGATCTTCTCCGACTCTCATCTCCGCCGCCCGCCGCCTTCTCGCTACCGCCATCCTCGACGACTCGTTAAATGCTTACTTTGTTCTCGTCTCCCAACATTGTATCCCTTTGCATTCTTTTCGCTATGTATACAAAACCCTATTTCGAACACCTTCTGAGTCGACTCGGTTCCCAACTCGGTTTCCGACTCGGCTCAGCTTCATCGAAGTGTTATCGGAGGAACCCCAACTGTGGGACCGGTACACTGCCAGAGGCAAAAACGCCATGTTGCCGGAGGTTCCGTTTGATAAGTTCCGGATCGGGTCACAGTTCTATATTTTGACCCGGGCTCACTCTTTGATGGTGATCAAGGACCGGAAGCTATGGAGGAAGTTCAGGCTGCCGTGTTTGAACGTCGATTCGTGTTACCCGGAGGAGCATTACTTCCCGACGCTTTTGTCGATGGAGGATCCAAAAGGAGTTAGCGAGTACACACTCACTCGGGTGAATTGGACAGGTAGTGTGGATGGTCACCCACATACATACCATCCGGCTGAATTGTCGCCGGAGCTAATCCGGTCGCTCAGAGTTTCTAATTCGACATTTTCGTATCTTTTTGCCCGGAAATTTTCACCGGATTGCTTGCTGCCATTGATGAGTATTGCTGAGAAGGTGATTTTCAGGGGATGATGTCATTCACTACAGACAAACAGGTATGGCGTCTTGCTGTGCAATTCTATTCCAAAAAGCAATAGAAATTATAATATGTGTCAATGGATTGAAAATCCCACTTTTGTCTGCATTTTATTATCATCTATTTATCATTTATTTTATCAAGATTTATAGAAAATCGTAAGTAATATAATAAAAAAATATATTTGTATGACACTAAATAGTTATATTCTAAAATAATTTATTAAATTACAATTTATTTATTTGTTAACTATTCTATTATTTATGTTAGAAGAGGTATATATATATATATATATATATATATATATATATATATATATATATATATATATATATATATATATATATATATATATATATATATAGGGTGAGGTTCAATAGAGAACCATAATTAACCAAGAAACCAATCGTGAGTGTCGGAAATCATAACGATCAACGGCCAAGGAAATAGATGTACACTTTTACATTGGACGCACACCCACCGGATTATACCATAAAATCCACCCTTTACGAAAAAAACCCACCACTTTTTTTCGTTTAAAATTTTTTTTAGGCCATGTTTTTATCAAAAAAAAAACCGAGTATACCGTTGTTCACGATTTTCCGTCCTCTTTCCATAGAGATCCATGATGATATATAAAAAACGAACTTTTTTTTTTCGAAAAAAACTCGCTTCATTTTCTTTGATGAAAAAAATTAAGGTCTATTTTTTATAGAAAAAAATTTAATAAATATATCAAAATTCATATTTTTTGTACTTTTTAAACATAGATTCATATTCATGTTTAAAAAAAAAAAAAAACGATATTTCAGTTTAAATTCACATTGTGAACCTGTTCAGATTCATATTATAAACATGTTTAGATTCATATTGTGAACCTCCTCAGATTCACAGTGTGCATAATAATAAGTCAGATTCACAGTGTGAATCTGAACTGATCGGAGTTTTTTCACATTGTAAATGTTAAAATTTGAAATATTTACAGTTTAGATCCACAGTGTGAATCTACACTGATTGAGGTTTTTTTTTTTTTTTTTGTGAACCTTCTTAGATTCACAGTGTGCATAATAGTAATTCAGATTCACAATGTGAATCTCAACTGTTCGAGATTTTTCATATTGTGAATGTTAAAAATTAAAATATTTACAGTTTAGATTCACAGTGGGAATCTACACTGTTCGAGGTTTTTTTTTTTTTTTTTTTTTAAATCGGTGTTGATGTTTATTAATAGAGTACAAAAAATTAATATTTTTGGTATAATTAGTTTTTTTTTTTATAAAAATAAACTTAAATATTGAAAAAACTAAGAAAATTAAGTGGGTTTTTTCGAAAAAAAAAGTTCGTTTTTTATATATCATCATGGATCTCTATGGAAAGAGGACGAAAAATCGTGAACAACAGTATATTCGGTTTTTTTTTCGATAAAAAACTTGGCCTAAAAAAAATTTTAAATGAAAAAAAGGAAGTGGGTTTTGTTATAATCCGGTACCATTACAAAATTTTACAACCTTTCCTTTTGCCGTTGATCGCTTTAAATTCCGACGCTTTGGATTGGTTTCTTGGTTCCTTGATTAATAATGGTTGTCTATTGAACTTTTTCCATATATATATATATATATATATATATATATATATATATATATCCATTATTGTCTATAAGCTAATAATATCCATCGTTTTCGAAATCTTTTAGTTTTGATTTTATTATGTAAATTGATATGTTATGATGATATAAAATTAAAGTAGTATGTTAAAGAAAATGGTATAATAATTAAATGTGAAAGGGCAGTTGGCACTATGAAGCATCTAAAGTCAAAAATGTTGGTCCATAGTCAAACACATCCAACCAAAAAGAGAAATATAGACCCACAAATTAACATCATCAGTCATCAACAAAGATACTATTAATGTTAAGGGGACCTTAGCTTGGCTTCAACTTGTTATTCGACAAAAGAAGTTGTTATGTCATCCTTTCTATCTTAAAATAAAACCAAACTTTATTCCATCAACCTTCAAATTATAAAATTTACTTTAAGATGATTAGAAGAATGTATACAAGTGTTGATAATTATTGATTTTGCAGGTTTGATGATTTTGATCATAAACATTAAACAAATAGATAATGGCATTTGGTAGAGAATAAGGGCCCAAGAGCTGGTTTCTGGGCAAAAGCCCAGCCCAGTGTGTGCAGAAGGATCGTTGGGCTTAAAGTGGAGTTTATTGGGGAGAAGAAAAACTGAAAAGCATACAACATACCAAAAAGGGTGTGCATGTGATGCATTTCTTCTATTCCATATCTTCCGTTTGCTCTTTTTGTAAATATTCTTGTAAACTTTTGTGGTTTTCATTCTATTTTATATTATATTAAAAGAACACATGTTGCCCTTGGTCCCATGTGAATTCGAGTCACGTTCAAAGTTTTACAAAATATGCCCAATGGGATTGGTATTGTGTTAGGGTTCAATAAGGGAGTGAATTCCAAAATGGTTGAAAGGAAGTTTGATTATCTTTTTTTATTGTCATAGTCTTCCACTCTTCTAATCACACGATGGTTAGATATTGGTGTAATTGCTATCGGGTCTAAACCCAAGTGTCCAAGAGTCGTGGAAGCCCATAAATGGAATCTATTTCTTTGCAAAAAAAAAAACAGATAAATAATATATTTGATGTTTTAAAATGTAACTATTGAAATTGCTTCCCGGTCGTAATCAACAACAAAACCTCCGGAAGCCATAGGGTAACCGGAGATTAGATATGGATAAACATATCTCTAGTTATGGGTGTGTTTGGAACGAGACCGTTTGAGAGCTTTTAGTTTCTAGCGTTTGACAAAATGTTCCGTTTTGAATAAAAAGTCTCATTTGACACTACAAGTTTTTCAGTTTAGTTTAAATAAAACGTTTCAAATCTAAAAACTATCCCACATAATGTTTAACAAAACGATACATGTTATCAATTACCCCTGTCTATAAAGTCGGTTTCATGAAGATCCCCGACAGGTTCTCCACTGCAAAGATGATGTGGACAAAGATGATAAAAGAAAGAGGAAATGATATAGAAATACTACCAATACTAAAACTAGCATTAAAGTAATAAATTGTATAAATGAGATATAGACACTAATATAAAGATATAAAGGGGTGAGCAAAACCGAAATTGAGAACCAGAAAACCGAAAACGAACCCAAATCTAAATCGTCGGTTTGGGTTTGTTTCTACATTACAAGCCGACCTGAACCAAAAACTGATCCATAGAATCAAAATCGACCCAACATATGTATATTTTAAAACTTAAAATAAATATCTCTTATTTTTATACAACTTAGGTTAGACTTTACGAATTAAAATCGTGAAATTGAAATCTCGTCTCTTCTCTCAAGTAAAGCATGTGTAGCTCTAGTTCGTAAACTCGTTAAATTTGGTTGGAATATGTTTCAAGTTTTTTTATAATTGCTTAAAAATGTGTTAATACCCAAAACCCATGGGTTGAAACCGAAAAAAGAACTCATTCCAAAACCGAACCCAATGGTTTCCAAAACTTGAAAACTAAACTTTTCGGTTTGGGTTCAGTTTTACCCTAAAATCAACCTAAACCGGCCATGCTCAACCATACCAATACATATAGAGATAATAATAAATGCCAAATGCCTAAACTATTCAATTATACTTATACTCGGCATATGTCTACAAGCTGTGCATGAATAGAAATCATCGGTAGAAAATATTGACATATCATATAAGTACATAATAACATTAGTTTAAATATGCATGATTAATAATGAATATGTCCTCGTATAAATATCATGTATCAGTTATAAAGTTTCCATCATAAAACTTGAAAAAATATCTTAATCACCTATTTGAAATAATTACAACGTTATCAACATGTAAATTTAACCAACCTCAATAAAACATCTAATAGTATCAACGTTATATATGCACAGTCTAATATTAAAACATTAAAAAAAAAACACGTGTATATGAATTAAGTCTAACATCTATAATGTTAAAACATAAGAAAACATGTTTATATGAATTATCAACACTTAAAATAAAATAAAATATAAAGCACACTACTAATATTACAATGGTTACCAATAAAAAAGTATTGTTGTGAGTTTTTTTTTCTCGAGTTTTGTCAAATATAAAGAAAAATAAAATTTATGCACATGCGTACTTAATATGATTTAAGATAATCCTACGTTACGTCATATAAAGTGAAAGTGAACATGTAACATTCCAAAATTTTCAGACAAAAAAATTTCATTTCAAACAACCAGTAGTCATGTCAAAACAACCAAAAGTGTATCATAATGAAAATAATATCAGGGTACAGATTCCAAAAGCACATAATGCGGAAAAACAAGGGCGGATGCGGTGCGATCAAGTCGGATCCTTCCCTTTCAAGCTGGAAGTACCTGAAACACAAACTGAAAACAGTAAGCACAAAGCTTAGTGAGCTCCCTCAAAAATACCACATACCATACAATCATAACAGTCAAACATAATTGGGTCTATTTCACCCCCTTCGGTATCTTTCAACCAGTATTGAGTCTATTTCATCTCCTTCAGTATCTTTCAATCGATATTGAGTCTATTTCACCCTACAGCTAAACATACAATCATATAAGCCAAAGTCACGAAGATAGCATGCATAAACATACATAAAATGGAATCACCACGAAGGCAACTATCATTCTATTAACATAATCTAGTGGGCCGACATTGGTGTCTTCGACCCATGAGTACAGTGAAGGAAACTCACCTTGATCGAAAGATAGCAAATCCCACACCCGAGTCTATTGCCCAACGGTTCCTCGCGCTGAATATAATCAATACCAACCTTAGTTACTATCTAAGGTTAAGCTCATAATCATAAGGCCTAACAATGGTCTAAGCCCAAACTAAAGGACCCTAAGGCCCAACATAGGCCTAAGAGCTCCAAGATGGCCTAAGGCCCACAAATGATCCAATACCACAAAAGGGTCTAAGGTCCAGACTCATCAAAGAAAAAGCCCAACTAAACTCGAGCCTAAAAACTCCAAAAGCCCACAAATAGACGTACGCGCGGTGTACCTGGCTCATACGCCCGACGTACGTGGCTGATCCAGAATCGTGGTGTTGCCCAGTACGCGCAACATACTCAAGAGTATGCCTGACGTACTGGTCAGACAACCAAACCCACTCCAAATGACTTAACTCATTAAGCTTATAATGTCCAAACTTCAAGTCAACATTAGAATAAGGTCCTAAACCATAAAGTAGAAGACTTTAAGCTTTTGCATGACTTAAAAAGATCAAATCTTGGATTTTAACATACTAACTTCATGAAACAACCCTCAATCCTTGCATGGTTGAGCTTAAACTGTCAAGGCACCATTTTTATGCACATGGGACATCAGAAACACTAAGATCTATCATCATAACCTTCTAGAGTAGCTTATACTCTAAAAAAACACCTTAAGGGACCAAAACAAACCAAAAACCCTAACTTTCTAGAACTAAGAGATGAATCATCAATGTAAGGACTTGATACCTTCTGAAGAATGATCAAGGTGGCTAAGTTCTGTATCCACAAGCTTTAACACCACAAGAGCAACTTCCAAGAGATCATTCATTCTTCAAGATCACCAAAAACACCAACAAAGGTCACTTCTAAGCTCAAAACACTCAAATGACAGTTAGGGTTTCGTGGGAGGGCTGATGGGGGAAGGAGGCTGATGAGGTGGCAGACTCAAGCCTCATAATGGGGATTATATAGGGGTTAAACCCTAAAAGTTAGGGTTTGTTGATTCACAACGTACGCCCAACGTACGAAGGTGCTCCCCCCCCCCCCCCCCCCCCCCCCGCGTCCAAGTCAGGTGAGTATGCCGTGCGTACTCAAATTACGCTCAACGTAATAAGACCCTTTCGTCTTTAACAATCAACACGTAACCAAAAAAAGAATGCCAAGAAACATAATACCTCACAAAATGGATGTTACATAACACCTCCCCTACGCACACTTAATTACATTCTAGTCATTATATTTCATAATTTCCCATTTCTACCATGTTTGTTAAAATCGCGATCCTGATTGTAGGATCGTACGATCTCACCTACGTAAATCGATCCCGATCTTACTTGGATCGTTTTTCGGTAGGATCGCGGATCGGATCGTTAATATATATATATATATATATATATATATATATAATATATATATATATATAGCTAGGTTCAAATGTTTTTAGCAAGTATTGTGTGCCTAAATGCACCAATGAGAATTCAAGAAATAATAAACAATTAAATAAATCATTTAAGGGTATTTTGGACCTTTTGTACTTTTAATTAAGGAAATCATTTAATTGAATCTTGCAATTAAGGAAATAAAATAAGTATATTTGACCTAGTCTCTCTCTTAAATCCTGTCTAATAAAACCTCCAAAATCCTCAACCCTTTTCACTTCACTCACTCCACACAACGGACCACCAGGTTCAATCCCCTACCCACTATGCCGCCATGGAAACGTCTCCTACAAGAAGCTCACAACCACAAAACCACTTCCCCAAACGTTGAAATCCACCTCATCCCTCTTATGCTGCTCGTATTCTTCAATAGCGGAGACCGATGATAGAATTGCAATTGAAACGACGGGATTACGTCGGAATTCCTCTAGCCTTCAGGCTCTTCAGGTCTATCTCTTTTGTTTTTCATACACACAACTGTCATATGTTCCTCTTTTGTCACTTTAGATGGATTATGTAAGCTCCAGGAAGATATGTAAGGTTTGGCAGCGAGGGTAGATGTGAAGAGGAAAAGATGTGCGAGAGGACTGTTGTGATTGACGAGGGGGAAAGGAAGAACACAATGCGACTGCTGCCTCGAGGTCTCGCCGGAATCGCCACCACACCTGGTGGTTCTTGATACGGGACAAAGAAGAAGATGATGTTGAATATGGATTCATGTAGAATTGGGGATAAAGGCCTGACACTTAGCAGGTAATTACACCATATTAAAAATTCTTTCAATTTTAGCATTTGGTTGAGCACATAAACGAAGTTCATTGTCAACTCCAGTAACAACCCTAGAGTCTGAAGAAGAAGATGTTGATTTAATTTTGAAGCCCTTTTAGCCACCAAAGCCTTGTCAGAATCCATTTAGCTCTCTCATGATAATGCTTCAAAAGAGCTTCAACAATGCCTGTATAAGCTTCTTATTTTAAAGGTATGATGCCTATCTTCACACATTCCATTCATGTTTACACATG